CCAAGCCAAGAACCGTGGGCTAATGAAGCAAACGGGTTTTGTCAGAGCTTCTTATAAGTACTTAGGGACCATTGGACCAAGCACAGAATGGATGACAAAAAATACTCAGCCCGGTCAGACGGAGCCTACTCCCTGTTGTTTGGTGTGATCGCAGCTTACTTCTGCGCTTACCGACCGGTCATTGATGTCATGCAAGGTCAGAAAGTGGTCCAGGTTTATGGCTTTGCCTTTCTTCTGCTCCCTTTAGTTCTGGTCCAGGGAGCCATCTATCTCATCTTGGGACCGAAATCTGAGGATCTCTTCGGAGACCTCAGGTCACCTAACAGGGCAGGACTGGTACTACGCGGCATACTCATCGTGATTGGCGTCTTGTTTTTTCTCTGGTTTGAATCAATTCGCTTGCGGGCAGGCTACCGATAAACAGGCTGCAGACACTTGTAGTTCTTATACAATCAGTGGAATAGACAACATGCCCCCAGAAGAGTTAACCGATACGCAAGCTGCGATCCTCATGCTGGTGCTATATGCCATTCATGCAGCTGGTATGTGGGGAATTTTCAAAAAAGCTGGCCGCTCACACCAGCTTGCACTGATCCCGATTCGTAACTTCGTTGAACTATGCCGTCTCTCGCAAGTCTCTTCTTGGTGGCTGTTAGCGATCTTCGTTCCTGGACTGAATCTGGTGATGGCCATCTATCTCGGAATTCGCTTGGCGCAGCACTTTCATTGGTCTAGTAAAATGGGAGTGCTCTTTGGTCTGAGTGGTTTTCTAACGCTGCCGATTCTGGGTTTCAGTAGAGCGGAGTACGATGGTCAAATTCCGGCTGAGTCGCTGCGGTCAACACTTTCGCTGAATAAGAAAGAAACAACTCCAGCCAGTCCCAAAGCACTGATGATCTCGCTCAGCATCTTCTATGGTCTGGGCATCCTCTGCTTCCCCGGCCTGCTCGTGATCTGTGCGATGTCCTACGACGCACCCGGTTCTCAAGAGAATACAGCCCTGCATGTCATGGTCGGCTCGATCCTGCTTACACCCGTTGCGATGTTGCTCTCACTGATCGTTGGTTGGATGCTATTTCGCATGCAAAAACATCGTGCCGCGTTTGTTGCGATGTCGCTACCGATCTTGAACGTGCTTGGTTTCTTTGTTGGTGTAGTTATGGCGATTCTGCAAGAGTCCTGACTCCACAGCATCATCCGAAATGGCGTTCAAGTTCTGACGCGTGAAAAGAAATTCGCTCAAATTGCGCCCCTCTTCCACGGGCATTAGAAACACGAAAATCTTCTTAAGGACAGCGAGGCTGATTGAGATCAAGTTCGACTAAACTCGTCGTCACTCTTTATTGCCTTGCAATTATATCCTCGAACAGAAACGATGCCCTGCAGAAACCGTTTCTCTCATCTATAGCATGGTCACTATGAGCGATCTATTATTCGAAACCAGAGTCCTGGATGACGACATTCTTGCTTTGATACTCAAAGGAGATTTGAATTCGACGACGACGAGTGAATTTAATGAAGTTGTAAATCAGCATCTCGAAGCGGGTAAGACAAAAATTATCATCGACTGTAGAGACTTAGGATACATTTCGAGTATTGGAATTGGTGCACTTGTAACTCTGAAAACGCGACTGAATCGAAAAGGGGGAACCGTCAAACTCTCAACGTTGCGTGGCCCTGTCGCGGACCTTATTAAGGCAGTCAAGCTCGGGAAAATACTCGATATATACGGCGACCTCGAATTTGCCCGCGAATCGTTCTATGAAACTCCGTAGAGCAATGCCCCCTGAGAGTTGCCTGCTCTCTCCATGGAGTTGCTTCGTTACGATGCTCTCTGACCAATGCCGAGTACCATCATCTTTCTATGTGAACCATGATTCGTTCCTTATTCATTCTATATTTAACACTGATCACTTCTGTCGCGAGTGCGAATTCTCGTCCGAATGTTCTGTGGATTATGGCGGATGATCTGCGGCCCCAGTTAGGCTGCTATGGGGACCAGACCGTTCAGTCGCCTCATATCGATCGCTTTTCCAAACGTGCGCTCCGCTTCGAGCATGCCTACGTGCAAAGTGCTGTTTGTAGCCCTTCTCGAAATTCGATGCTGAGTGGCTTAAGACCGAACACGACTGGACTGCGTGGTTTTGGAGTCAAAGTGCGTGACGCCATCCCTGACATCATTACGCTTCCCCAACATTTCAAGAATCATGGGTATGAGTCGAGAGCATTTGGCAAGATTTTTCACATCTATGATGAATCAATGCTCGGAGACGAGGATGATCCGCAGTCTTGGAGTGTTCCAACACGTTGGCCGGAAGTCCCTGTTTGGGGACCAGAACAAAACGGACTTCGCAATCGCCTGATCGAACAGGCAAAGCTCGCTGGCAAAAAGTTCAAACATCCGCACGATTGGCCCCGAGCAGAAACATGGGACGACAGCGACATTCCCGATGATTTCATGCAAGATGGGGACACAGCTGCCGCTGTTGAAAAGTACCTCGCTTCGCGACGTAATCAATCAGAGCCCTTCTTTCTGGCGGTTGGCTTCTTAAGACCACACTTGCCTTTCAATGCTCCTAAGAAGTATTGGGACCTCTACGATCCCGATCGTCTCTCTTTGCCGACATTCCGGCAATTGCCTGAGCATGTTCCCAACTGGGTCGTCAATCAGGGGATCGTCAAAAACTATTTTAACATGCCGACAGAAGCAAATTTGGATCGCTCCTTCTTGCAGCGATATCTGCAAGCCTACCTGGCCTGCATCAGTTATATCGATGCTTGCTTTGGTCGTGTTGTCCATGCTTTGGAAGAATCTGGTCAGGCTGAGAACACCATCATCCTGTTCATGGGGGACCATGGCTATCAAATGGGTGAATATAATTCGTGGGGACACAAGCACTCGAATTTTGAAATTTCAACTCGCACTCCACTATTGATTTCTTCACCTAACATGAAACGTGCTGGAGAGACGACTCGTCAAGTTGTCGAGTTTCTTGATCTCTACCCAACACTTTGCGAGTTAGCCGGTCTTCCTCAACCATCACATTTGGAAGGGAACAGTTTTGCGAAACTGCTCGCAGAGGAGGTCCAGACGCGAAACGCTGCTTGTAGTGAGATGAACCGCCGAGGTCGGCTGGGACGGAGTCTGCGTACGCAGGAGTTCCGTTATACCGAGTGGCGAGGAAAGCATAATGCCCTGGTCTTTCGAGAACTTTACGATCACCGAAATGATCGAACTCCCGGACAACTTGAAACGGTCAATGCGATTGACGAACCTGAACTCAAAGAAACAGTGAACCAGTTAAGCCAACGCTTGCATCAGCTTGTCCCGCATGAGAAGCAATGATGAGTTTTAAGAGCCTCATGCGGCCTGTGCGACCGCAACCAAATAGGGATTTCAAATTGAGGCAGCTAGACTAAGGGCAAGGGGCCTAGGGTGAACAATTCGCGAGCGAATATGAATCAACTCCAAACCAAATCCTACATGCCTTACGTTGCGTCAATCAAAACAAACCTAGCTTAAAATGTAGGTTCTTCGGACTTTTTTAATAGCTATGAGCCCACTTGTCATGGAAGCGAGTGAGGGACTTTAATTCTATGACGGCATCATATGATCTAACGAAGTCAGGCAACTCGACTCCCTC